ATACTGCTTGCCCCCTTGACACTTGGAAGGTTCTTCCAATAAGGTATGAGGATAGCAACGCGAAAAATGGGGCTGGAAGGGTGGTCCTCACTTTCTGCAGCAGTCCCAGGTGCCAAACTCGATCAAACGCCTGTTTGATGTCTAAAAAGACGGCAGAGCAGTACATCTTTTCTTCAAAGGCTCCAAGGATATGGTGCACAACTCTGTGAACCTGTTCCGGTGTTCCATGCTGTCTCCTGAAGCCAAACTGATGGTTTGGAATGGCCTCCTGGCGTCCCAGATGTGTCAGTACTCGTTCCAGAAATATTCTTTCGAATATTTTGGAGAGTACTGGCAACAGGCTAATTGGTCTGTACGACTCAATTTCTCCCACGGGTTTGCCAGGCTTAGGAATCATCACAATCACGGCGCGCTTCCAGCAGGCTGGAAAGTGCCGGATGCGGAGCATGGCGTTGTACACCATAGTTATGTAGTCTATGGTGGAGTCAGGCAGTGCTCTAAGGACTCTGCCGTTTATTAGATCATATCCAGGGGATTTTTTTGCCTTCACTCTTCTGATGTGTTCAAGAACCTCTTCTTTTGTACATCCAGTTATCTGGTCTTCAGCTGGGAGGGGCGAGAGAACGATGTCTTCTGTTGCTTCGATTTCTGAGGCCTCTGCGGTAATCACCGGCGTGAATTGGTCTTGAAGGTGGTTTGCAAAAGCCTCAGCTTGAGCTTCGTCTCCAATGTGCCAGGAACCAGAAATGCTCCGAATGGGATGACGACGTATTGGCTGCCGTTTGAGCTTTCTTGTAAATTTCCATAATTGAAACTCTGCGTCAGTGGGCGATTCAGCTCGTACCAGCGCATCGCTGATACACCTCTTTTGAAGCAGGGCGAGAGCAGCTTTAAGATGCCTCGTGGCTTCGTTGTACATGGATTTGGCATCAGGCGTGCGTAATCTTAACCAGCGTCTCCTGGCCCATCTTTTGTGTATTAGTAGGTGTTGGGCCTCCAAGGTGAGGGGGATGTTGTACGGAGACTGTTGTCTTGTTTGGCAAGATGGTGGGGCGGCTTGGTGCGCAGCTTTGACTATTTCTTCCTGCAGTTTGTTTGCTGCGTAGTCCACGTCTTCAGGAGTGTTAAGTTCCATTTCTATGTGCAAAGAGTAATGGAGCTCGCGCCTAAAGACTCCTAAATCTGATCCTGCTGGCAGTAGTTGTTTCCTAATGGGCAAGGGCTGTGGCTGCGCGTGGATTGTGACTATTAGTGGCAGGTGGTCAGAGGATAGGTCCAAGGATTCTTCAATGGTCAATTGCCGGTCACAGATGCCTTTGTAGACAGCGAAGTCGATTGCCGAGGGCCTGTGTCCATTAATTGGGTAACGGGTGGGGGCTCCAGTCGCCAATATGCTGAATTGTAAGTTTTGAATCGCCTCAAATATGACTTCTCCGCGACGATTCGCACTATTGCTTCCCCAAAATGGGTGCCATCCATTCCAGTCGCCGCCGATGAGGGTCTTATTCAACCTTTGGCCTAGAACCTGTTCCATGTGATGATCACACAGACCAGTGTTTGGCGGAAGATAAATTGACGCAACTTCGATCGCTCCAATAGACGTAGGCAGGGTGATGGCTGAGACCTGCATTGTTGCGTTGCAAATTGGCAGTAAAGGTGTATGCGGTATTGTTGCTCGTATGAGGATTGAGGATCCACCAAAGCAGTTTGCTCCTTCACCATGAGCCTGATAGTGTTCGTATCCGAAAATTTGTGTAGTGGGGCACTCATGAGTTTCTGTTATTAACATTATATCTATGTTTTCTTGTGAGAGAAACGCAGCCAGTTCCTGAGTCTTGTTTCTCAGGCCATTGGCGTTCCAGATACCCACACGTAAAGCCATTATTTGTAGGCAAGCTTGGTTATGATGGCCATTAAACTGTTTAGCATGGTTGCTTGTTGGGATTGTACTTCTCGCATCGCTTTGAGCTCGGCATTAATTGCGTCAAACTGACGTTGTTGTTGCTGAAGCATTTCAGTGAACAAAGTGTCACTTGTGGTATTCTTATTTGACGGTCCACCTCTAGCGGCCTGTGCGTAAGAAACACCACTAATAGGCGTTGCAAAGCTCGTGGCTTGGGTAATGCTCCGGGGCCTTGTAATTTCGGAAGCAGTACTCGGACCCGTAGACGGTGTTTGTGTGGGACTCCTTTTTTGTGCTGGGGATTGCAATTTGCGCAACCGCTTGTATACTTGGCAGCCCTTATAGTTGGCTGGGTGCTGTAACTCACAGTGCACACAAGTTGGTGCCTGGTCCTTTTCGCGGGTGCAGTCTTTGGATGCGTGTTTCCCGGCGCAACGCACACATCTGGGAGCTTTGTGGCAGTAGCGTTGTGTGTGTCCAAATTCTTGACAGCGATGGCATTGTGTCAGGTCGTTGTATCTTCTTGGCAGTTCCACTGTGCAGCGTTGCCTGCAGACAACTCGAATGTCCAAAATTTCTTTGTTGTTGGGGGCCTGAGCCACGTCAACAAAAAATATATTTAGCGGTGTTTTGTCCATACGGCTCAGTGGGTTGTGCACATTTGTAATTGTGTGGCCTTTGGTTTCCAATTCCTTTTTAATTAGTGTTGTATCAGTGCTGGAGTGAAGCCCTTTGAACACGACTCTATATGGTTTGTCCTCCTTAAGCTGGTAGCAGTGGAACTCCAATTCCAGCTTAGTAAAGTGGTCTATAACTCTGCGATAGTCCTCACTGCATTGGGTTAATACACCTATGTTATTCTTCTTTGGCTTAATTACGTATGATTTAGCATCAATTACTTTATCTATTATCTGTTGAAGTAGGGCCACAGACTTGATGTTTGGACACCATATGGGGGGCGGACGAGGTTTCGGTGTAGTTTGCTGGTCGGTCAATACTGGGGCTTCTGGAGCTACAGGTGATTCGCTGTAGTCTTCATCTTCTTCTACGAGCAGTGAAAATCGATTTTCTGATATTAATGCTGCATTGCTGGTGCTTGGTTCGTCGAAGATGAGCCTTTTCTTGATGGTTTTTGGTGAATTTGGCTGTTTACGTTTCGTGTTTTTGTTGTTAGTGATGCCTTGCACGGAGGCGATATCTATTTTTGAGTTTATTGGCATGATGGAGGCTTGCCTATTTGCCATCACAACGTTAAGCTGGGCTTGCATTTCTGCATTTACCTTTACAGCTGTAGCGAGGTTATTGACATTAGATGTCATCGCGGATTGTGCTTTTGAGTGCAGGCGCACTCGCGCCAAGCGACGAAATTTCGTAAATTGCAATTAAAGCAATTGAGTTACGCGGAAGCAAGCGATAAGAAAACGCTGCGTGTGCGGTTTTTGTTGCTGTTGCGTTGAAGAATGCACCGCAAAGTTCTATTTTTAGAACTCTGCAGCAGTAGAGCTTAAGCGAAGGCTGTTCGAATTCACGTCTTTACAGGTCGAACAACTGATCGCGATTGAAAAGCTTGTTTTAATTGTGAAGTTTAGAGCAAAACATACTAATTTTCCACTTCAACGAACACTTAAATTCAGATAGGAAATTGTTGAGTAATTTATGTTTTCATCTACTGCCAAGTGAAATTTATAGCAAAGCTCCGACCATATTTCAATGCTATGCGTACTCGTCTCGTTTTATGCTCTTTGTTAACTCTGCTTAAATACTTGAAATTCTGTTTCTCTTCATGTTAGATTATTTCTTAATTTATTGATAATATACGTAGACCTTTTCATATTGCACGTTTAAGCAATTTAAACAGTTTCGGCGAGCCATTCGCAGACGTTTGCCCAGCGCTTGACTTGAAATATTAAAGCGGAATTGCTCAAATGTTGTGCATACGCCCCGTTGGCTGCATGCAAATTTTATATATTAACCGGCAACGGGGCTCAGTGCCTCGCAGTGTTTTGCTTTGCTTACTTTACTTGCATGCTGCTCGTCCATAATTGCAACATGCCGCAAACACAAGCCACATTGGAATGAGAGGGAAAGAGTGTGGAAGGGAGAGATATACACTGTAAAGTCGGAAGGAGGAAGGGAGGGAGGTTGCGGGAGAGAGAGAGGGTAGCCAGACAAGTCAAATAAAAGCCGCGAGCCGCACGATAAAAACCCTAGTCAACTGGTTGGCTTAAGTGAAGGTTTGGTGCACAAATTGAAGTGAGTGCCACGTTCTACGTCTAGGCCGGGCTCGTTGGCCTGGTGTTGGTGTTGTTATGACTTAATGTCGCTGCGCCAAGTGACAGCTATGATGGAAGTACACCGAGAACGGAGGGCTTATTAAAATGTCACAAATGCAAAGTTTATGGCAGCTGCATTACATAGCTCGCACCATGGCCATACCATTGGACAGGACGCAATATATACATAAAATGGTCACATAAGCTGCCACATTTTAATTGCCAATTTTTAAGTGAAGTGTAGCAATTTCATAAAAATTTTATGTGATATGATTTATGTGTATATAATATAATAAAAATAGTAGTGCAACTGAGCACTCAATTTTTTAAACCAATATATAATATAATTATATATATTATAATTAATATATATATTATAAAAGTCAAATCAGGCTCTAGCCAGGCAAGACTACAGCTGAATTTTTTATTATTTTACTAATTGAAAATGCAAAAAATGCAAAAAATTAAGCCAAAAAGTAACACATTTTAGATAAATAATTTTTATTTTAGCTATAAACATTTTGAATGAAATTTAATAATAAATAAAATAAATATATTGAATATTAATTATGTAAAATAATTAATTATTTTAATCAATTAAAGTTTTAAATAATTTTAAAAATATAATTTTATAATGATTCGAAGCAACAAATATTTTTATATAGCTTTAAACATCGGCTACAAGGAAAAACTAATTTTTTAATAAATAATATTTAAATATTTTATTGAAAAATAAAAAAAAAAAAATTATCAAGTAAATCGCCTATAATTTGATGTCTATATCATTTCACTAAATCTCCCTCTTTGTTTATCTCTATTTACAGTCTACATTAGCTGATTGCTTGAACTTAACTGTTCTGGTTGCGATCATACTGTCCTAGTATGCGATGGCAGCAGCGACAGCGACGCTGGAGGAGAATCATGCCCGGCCCCGCCATATAGCCAGCGATAATAGCGCCCAACAGCGTACGCTGGCCACCAAGGTGCGGCGAAAAGCATGGGACAGGCGACCAATGCGGCGACTACATCCGCCCATACCGCTTGGCCAGCTGCTCTGGCTGCTCTGCTGTCTCAGCCAGCTGCGCGCCGAGTGCCCGTCAGTATGCGAGTGCAAGTGGAAGAGCGGCAAGGAGTCCGTCTTGTGCCTTAACGCCAACCTAACACATATCCCCGAGCCGCTCGATGCGGGCACCCAGCTGCTGGATCTAAGCGGCAACGATATACAAACCATACCCGACGACAGCTTCGCCTCGGCTCAGCTGCTTAATCTACAGAAAGTTTATCTGGCCAGGTGTCGACTGCGGCTCATCGAGCGGCATGCGTTCCGCAAGCTCATTAATCTCGTGGAGCTGGACTTGAGCCACAATCAGCTGGCGGCAATACCCTCGCTTGCACTCTACCACGTCTCGGAGCTGCGCGAGCTGCGACTCACGGGCAATCCCATCTCGCGTGTGCCCGATGACGCCTTCGGGCATGTGCCGCAGCTGGTGCGGCTGGAGCTGAGCGACTGCCGTTTGTCCAGCGTGGCGGTGCGCGCCTTTGCCGGCCTCGAGAGCAGCCTGGAGTGGCTGAAGCTAGATGGAAACCGCCTCAGCGAGGTCAGATCAGGCACAATAACATCGCTGGCCTCGCTGCATGGCCTGGAACTGGCGCGCAATGAATGGAACTGCAGCTGTTCGCTGCGACCCCTGCGTGCCTGGATGCTCCAACAGAATATACCCAGTGGCATACCGCCAACATGTGAGTCCCCCGCCCGCTTAGCCGGCCGCGCCTGGGACAAGCTGGATGTGGATGACTTTGCATGTGTGCCGCAAATCGTGGCCACAGACACAACCGCGCACGGCGTCGAGGGACGCAACGTGACGATAAGCTGCTATGTGGAGGGTGTGCCCCAGCCGGCCGTGCGCTGGCTGCTCAAGAATCGGCTGATTGCCAATCTGAGTGCAGCTGGCGCTGGCGAGGATGCCGAGGAGCCGCGCACCGCAGCCGCCACTCAGGGGCGAAAAACCTATGTAGTAAACATGCTGAGGAATGCCTCCAATCTGACAATACTCACCGCAGACATGCAGGATGCGGGCATCTACACCTGCGCCGCCGAGAACAAGGCCGGCAAGGTGGAGGCGAGCGTAACGCTTGCCGTCTCCCGTCGTCCACCGGAGGCGCCGCTCGGCGTGCGCATTGTGCTGCTCGGGGTGCTGGCAGCGCTCTTCTTTGTGGTTGGCTCCTCGTTTGCGGCCATTTGCTTCTGTTCGCTGCGGCGACGCCGCAAGCTGCGTCTGTGGAATTCGGTGCCGCCGGTGCGGCGCAGCGAGAGCTACGAAAAGATTGAGATGACGGCGAGGGTGCGACCGGATCTCGGCGGTGGCGCCAGCTGTGGCGGCGGCAGCGCCACTGGCGCTGGTCTCTTTCAGGACGCCGAGGAGCAGAGCTATCTGCGGGCAGCGCATACCCCACTCAACGACCACGATGCGGGGCAGTCGGCCATTGTGAATCCGAGTGCTGGCAATGCAACTCGACGCAACGGCGACTACCTGCATGTGTCGACGCACTGTGACGACGACGACGAGGAGCAGCCATCGCAGCAGCCATCGCAGCAGCAGTCGCAGCAGCTGCAGCAGTCCAAGCCGGGCGCGAGAAAATGCTCCATGGTGAGCAACAATATTTCCGCATCCGCTGCGAATAATGCAGTAGCGGCCATCGAGGAAACGGATCTGCACATACCGCGTCTGATTGACATCGGCGGGTAAGTTGACCTCCCACTTCAAGCAGTCGTTGCCGTTGCCGTTGCTTTTGTTCTCTGCGGTTCGTTACTTCGAGTGGCAATTGTCCCGCTGCAGCTGCCCCGTCAAAGAGCTGTCATGCTCTAGTGCGCTGCACGCCCGGATCCGTTCCATATTATGGGCAACACTTGACACTTTCTGCTCGAGTGCTGCCACCTCCCCCCACCTCGTAGCACACTGTAAGGGCGCGTGCTAATGACGCGCAAAATATGCGTTGCCTGGCACACGCGTCGCATGAGTATTTTATTTTTGGGCCACCCCTCGCTGATTGCCGACTCTCATGCCGAACGCAAACGAGCCTGGGCAGCACTCCAAGTGCCTCTCATACAGAATATAATGAATATAGAATGTGTGTGCTACAACAATGCAGCCCCAACGGGGGCTGCACAAATAGATTCTGAGGAGAAGCAGAGCTCAGTGCACTAATCGATAGGCAGCTCTGAGAGAATAGGTTACGGCAGATAGCGTGGAAGACTTAAGGCTTAAGGAATATCTTATAGATGTGTAGGAATGCAAGGAACTGGCACAATTTCTCCGATGTCTTTTCTTAAAGTCTTTCACTAGAATTTTCTTTAGCAAAAGCTATACTAAGAAAAAGTACAGTCAATAATTTTGATGTATTGAATTTTCATTAACTTGAGCTATTCATTAATCTGAAAATATAATTCTACAGATGAATCTTTTACGAGACGAAGTTATGAGTAAATAGTCATCAAGCTAAAACTCTTTAACTGAATTTGTCTTTGGTGAATTGAAATTAAAATTTTATACAATTTTCCGAAGTGTTTTGTAAAGAGTTGATTATTTTTATTTTGATATTGTTGTATGAAAAATATTAACTCGTCTTTTTCAAGTCTAAAATGTTTTATTCCTGATATATATAAACATATCTATCTGAGCTAAGCAATTAAGACTTAGGTGCAAAAAAATGCATCTGCCATAGTCTAGCTGCCCTCAAATTAGCTAAAACTGCTCTGTTAAATTCATCCAAATTTGATAAGCTATTCTTAATATCAACTGCTACCCGCGCCATAGCCCATAGACCATATTCATATTCCTTTACCAACCAAGCAAACAGCTCACTTCAAGCCATTTTCAAGCTGCTCAAGAGTTTCGTCTAGGCTTACAGAACGTCAAGATGCCTTGGCTGCTCTTTTCTTCTTAATTGTAAACTCAATTTATATCTCATACATATCCGTTTTGTTCTATTTCAAATCCCAGCACCGACTCCGCGTCAAGCTCAATATCCAGTCAGGTGGACGCAGCAGCTCGACTCGCTGGCTATGCGGGTCACGCTGCCACCTGGAAGACGGCGCCCATAGCAACCACAAAGATCACATCGCCGCACAGCAAGCCAGTCGCAACAACTCAAGCAACAAGCACGGCCGCCACAGCCACGCCCTTCAGCCACTTTGGCAATCATGCGACAGACGAAATGGCGACGTCGGTGTTCTGCAGCAGCAATGGCGATGGTCAGGAGAGCGATCTGTTCGACAGCAACTATCCAGATCTGCTGGACATAGCCAAGTATGCCGTGGCTCAGGCGGCGCAGACGGGCCACGGCTATCCGCCAGCCGGAGCGGCCACAGCGAATGGCGGCCTCTGCACGCTGCCCCGCAAGCTGAAGCACAGCGGCAAGTATTTCCGCAACTCCTCGGACAGCCAGTCGCCGCTGTTGGCGGACAACTCAAGCAAGTACGGCAGCAGCACGCTAGGCGACGGCAGCTTTCTGAACGAGGCTATGGGCCTGGGCAGGCGCTACTCGGCCGAGTCGAGCTATGCGAACTATGCCAGCACCACAACCTACACGGGCGGCGGCCAGCGTGCCAATAGCTTCTTGAATCTGGTGCAGAGCGGGGCACACAAGGGTGGTCTGCACGGGCATCTCTTGGGCCAGAAGCCCAGCCTGCCCTCTTCTCCTGTGCAGCACCAGCGTTCGCTGAGCAGCGCGGCAACTCCGTTGCTTGACTTCTCGGCGCTGGCGACTCGGGCTGCTGGGGCAGCCAATTCCTCGGCGGCTGCCTACGACTATCATGCGGCGCAGCTGGAGCGCTTTCTGGAGGAGTATCGCAATCTGCAGGATCAGCTGTGCAAAATGAAGGAGACCTGCGACACCATTCGCAAAAAGGAGACGCCACTGCGCGTTGCCATTGGCCAGTCGGCTGCCCAGCTGGCCGATCCGGTGATGTACAGCGCAGCGACTGCCTCGCACAGCCCCAAGCCGCCAACGTCGACGCTGAAGGCGAAAACCCTGCTGCCAGGCCAGCCACCCGATCCGCCGCCCTATTGGCTGCATCGCAATGCCATGCTGAAGCGACTCAATCCAGATGCCAATGGCACGGGCAGCGGTTCGCCAAGCACCGCCTCGCCACAGCCCGGCCAGGACATCTTCAAGAGCTAATCGAACTTGTGTACAGTCGATGAATAAGCCCAAAATCCGGAAACTTCGGCGCACCGAAGCTCACATGATCTTGCAGTAGTTCCTTAGAGAGTTCCTTAAATTTAGATTTTATTTATCCTTCCAGTTTTGCCTTCTTATTTCTAAAATATCTGAATTTTGAGCAGGTTTAAAGAAGACTGCGACGAGATGATGAGACTTTTCTATAAATTATCAATTGAAACTTTCTTAAGAACTTTTTTGATTTCCCAAATCAATTTATAATAAAAATAAAAAATAAGTTCTAAAATCAAGTTTTTTGAGATTTTGTTGTATATGATTTCAAATGAAATAAATTGATTATTTTTTATTATTTTCTTAGAATATATTTTAGCTAAAGATTTATAAAAAATAAGTTTTATTTTTTATTGATAATTTTATAAATTCTTCATTCTTAAATTATCTTTAACTAAGTAAAAAAAAAAAAAGAAAATCAATTTTTCAATCTTAATTAAGTCTCCATTCCATTAGCATTGCCAAACAAAAGATAATCCCCGCTCTCACTTAAACAAAATTACTTTACAAACCTTCTGCAAGGTCATGTCTCTCACTATGAACGAAATTTCTCTTAATTAGGCTTAGTTAGCTGGGGGCTCTCGACTGGCCGCTAAGATAATAAGGCCAGCCCCTCTATTGTAATATAGAACACACACTTTTCCACTCTTTCTACTCGCTACGCATATTCAGCAGTCACAATGTAAGTGTATAGACAAATGCCCCAAATTTCAAATCCTAAAAATGAAAAATAAAATAAACCAAATAAAAAATAAAAATCCAAAAAAGAATGAAAATTCCAAGTTCCCAAAACTCTCGTGTTAGTCAAACTAAAAGTGTTTTTGTACTTTAAGCGATCTCATAAAAACCAAAATGAAAAAAACCAAACAAAAAAAAAAAACGAAATTAATATTTATAAATTACTTAAATAACATATGTATATTCTAAGTGGAATTGAGTTGGCACAGACTGCAGGCATTGATTGATTGATTGATTGATGTATTGTTTGATTGTTAGACATTTTATTAGAGTTTTAAGTTATGCAAGATCAAATCAAAGTGGGAAACATGGGAATAAATAGTAACCAAGCCAGCTCAATTCGAACGAAATAAATTGTAATTTACAATATTAACAACAGCAACAACAATTTATTTTAGGGTGTCACAAAACTAATGCTCGAAAGACAAAAACCAAAATGAAATAATAATAAATTAGTTGAGAATTGAAACACAAAAAAAAAAAACAAAAGCAAAATTGGCAAAAGGCCAAAGCGCATTTTAATGGGCGTGGGCGTGGGCGTGGGCTGAGTTCATTGACTGGCTCAATCGACAGCCGTGCAAATGTTCATTTCCGGCTCGCGCCCCTAATCAACGAGTGGGCGGGGCGCGGGGTCGATTTGAAGTAATTGTCGCTTGTCGCGCGACATTCGCGCGCGCTTTCTTAACTGCGGCTGGGCGTGTTGCTGGCTGCCACGCCCCGGTCAGTTGGCAAGATTAAACAATAATTTTTATGGCGCACACGCATACACCCAAACACACACATACAGCCACACACCCTGGTACAAATGGCGCCAATTGGTTTTGTGTGAAAATCGCAAAACATTTCTTTTATTCCTTTTATTTGGTACATTTCGCTTCGCATTTGGCCGCTCAAATGAAGTTGTAAAATGCAAATGAAGTCGCGTCGTCGACGGCGTCGCGTTAAAGTTCATGTTCGATGTGATGTCGCCATAAAGCAGGATTAAACGGAATTTATGAACCTTTGACACGGACGCAACCCCGTCGCAGCGCCCACAACGACAGCGGCGACAACGACGACGACATGATAGCGGACACATGCGGGTCCTCTCTTCCTCTACCTACCTCTGCCCCCACTGCTGCTATGCCTCTGCTTCTTCACACACCACACCCCATATACACACTCACTCATTCACTCATTTCACACACTCGCACAATAAGACAGAGCGTCGCTGACATTTTGTTGACCTGCAGGCATTTGAATAAAAAATTGTCCCTACTTTTACACCAACACATACATGTTTATCTATATATATGTATATGTATATATATATGTGATATATATGCATATGATATTTATATATTAAATGTATGTGACACAATTTGTATCATCTGAGCGACGGGAATGCAAGAAAAAACTTTCTCTTTTAAGTTCTTAACTTTTAGCAGATCGCAAGCTGCGTGAACTACAGCTGCACTTCGAATTCACGTAAATGCAGTACACAGCTTAAGAGTTATATAACTTATGGACATATATTAATTAGTAAAATATTAATTGCCTGAAAAGAAGAGCTACAAATGATCCAAGAAGCATTTGATATTAATACTTTTAGTTCGAGATGAGCTGTGATTCGAGCTTGTCATTTAAGCCTGGGCGTAATATATATAATAGTCATATAATGACATTTATGTGGCTTTAATATAAAATCCGAATTTAACAAATATACCAATACATTTTTATTTCATTTAAATTTCTTTTATTTATTATTTGTGCAGCCTGCGTCTGAAATTTTCTGTACTCAGTTTCGCCATTCAAATTTGTTGGCATAAATGATACATTTCAAGCGACTTAAAGCACAATTTTATTTCTTAGCAAATATAGATGAGATCTAATTGTTAAAGTTGAAGCGGGCATAGTTTTCTTAAGCTGAAAGCAGGAAAAAGTTGTCTAAAAGCAGTTACAACTGCTAACCACAAGCTCGACCAGCTCTTTGCGGCTTGGCGGCTTTAAGGTTCACACACACACACATACGTATAAGCTTACATTACCATTACCTGTCCCATTTCTCTTACTGGGCTACACGTGGCTGCTGCTGCTGCTGACCGGCTAAAGCGAAAATAATGAGCCCAATGTAGCTGGCTAAAGTGTGTGAACAGGCATGTGTGTGGGTGTGTGGGTGTGTGTCAGCTGGAAGCAGGCACTGCTGGCAACGTTGAGCACAGTCGAGTTCATGTCAAGCTGTCAGTCAAGGTCGATTTCGTTTGCCGTCGCCCCTGTCCAGGTGGCAGCTATGCGCCTTGTGCAATATGCCAGCAAAGGGTTACAGCAGTGAGTTAAGCAGGCACACACTTGCACACACTCATACACATACATATATATATATATATATAATAATATATAGATATATATACACATTTTGCCTGGCAAGTGGCTTTTTGTCACTGTCTTCGGGCTGCCAGTGCAATTTTTATGCTCGTCAGTGTGTGCCCACCGAGGCAGCAGATAAATTGTGTATACATCGCTTGCATATGCGTGTGTGTGTCTGTGCTTGGGAATTTTTTCATCATTATCAGTGTCCTTGTAACCACTGCTGCTGCTGCTACTGGTGCTGCCACATGCCACTTAATGCCAACGCTGCACGTTCCACTTTTGCATGTCGTCTTCGCCTTTCGCTGCGGCCTTTTGTGGCCGCTGCGTCGCACAATTGCATGCCACAGCTACGCTCCCATCGCCCAGCCCCCGCCACGCCCACAACTGGGGGCCATTATATTCAAGCATTTTTGTGTGTGGCATAAGTTGGCACTTTAGCGTCAGGAGGCAGCTGCTACCTGTTTCAGTTACCTGTTTCCAGTTACAGTTTCAGCTTTGGCCTCTGCTTTCGTTTGTTTTAGCCCGGCTCAGGACGTGCCGCCATTTTGTTGTCCTTGGACCACGCCTCTGACGCCTTGCCCCCGCACAGTTCGCATGACTTTTATTTCTCAATTGCCAATATTGGCAATCGATATGCGCGCTAATAGCTGCGTGTAGCAGCCATATTCACGTGCCTCTGTCTCTCTGTGTATGTGTCTCTGTGTATGCCTCGTGTTTGCTTAATGCGCCATTCGTTCGCTGCCATCGCACATTTTAATGGATGTTGCATTACTCGCGGAGGCGTTGCACACGCGTCAGCTGCTGCAGCAAACTTTTGCCAGCGTACAAATTGAAAAATAGTTTTTTCGCACCATCGCGCCACGAAGTTGCAACATGTAAAATGCTATTATTGATTAGCTTTCCACGTTGCAATTTGTTGCTCTACATTATATCTGGCTCTCAATCAAATAAGTCTTTAGGCCAAGTGAAAGCTTAAAGCCGACAGCTTAAAGAAATTTATTAAGGCCAGCAAAAAAAATGGCAGCTGAGTTTTTAGTCATATTTCCACTTACTATAGTTGGTAATGAGCACATTTTTATGTTTGGTAAACAAAAGAGAGAAAAATAAAAATAAATAAATGAAAACTAGTTTCGCAAATGGCCGCTGACAGTGTCAAGGATAATGTGCAAAGCCGGAAATAAACTGAAATGAAACGAAATGCAGCTAGACCATTTGGGCTTAAATGAAATCTCTGCCTTCACCGAGTCAATCTCTATGAATTTTAATATTTAAATATTTCTTAATAGCTGCTGTCAATTATGGAATTTAAATGAAATCGGAGGGCTTAGCCAAGGAGCGGCAAAATTGTTAAGTTAAATGTAGAACGAACAATCAGGTTGAATGTTTTAAGGAATATTTAAATTGATAAATGGAGATTTATTAAAAATATATATATTTATATATATGTATATAATATAATCTCTTATTTTCACATTTATTGATATTGTTAAATGTTATGAAATAAAATATTAAAAAAACCTTTAAAAAATATATATTCATAAATTACATGGTTTTGCCGAAATAATACTAACGAAATAATAATAACTAAGAATAATGGTTAATCATGTATATTAAGAATAATCTGTAATACTTTTCAAGAAATATATTTCAAGTATTATGTTTTCAATAACATTCAAAATGAAATTTCCGAAAATACTCTAATGAAAGCTCTTAAGGAAAACCCCTTAAAGTCATTTGTATGTTTCGAAATTCTTTATTAAAACTTTTTGTGTTATTTTTAGCAATTGCTCAATTTAACAAATTTAAATTTGAATGAAAAAAGTTTAAACTTAAAGCAAATATTTATATACTTTCCCACTTTCCCCAGTACATGGGTCAGAGCGTAAGTAAACAACAAATAC